GCATCAACCATTGGCATGTGGCCCACAGATTTCCTCACCTTCCCACGAGAGGTATGATGGCAGAGTGCTTCAGAGAATGGGTTACCAGTGAAACTGCTTAAGTACAAAATCACTCTCTTTATCCCTTGCAAGTAACACAATCTCTCAAAGCTTTTATTCCTCATCTCAGAACAGCATAATCAATAGCATTTGTCACCTAAGATTGGTGTGGGGACTAGATGAAATAATGCCTCTTAGGCACAGCCTGATGCTCCACAGATGGTACCTTTAGTGCTGTCGTCTTGGACAGCGGCAGTAGCCTTCCAAAGGTAGTAGTGAAAGAATATCCGATGGAGAGAGCTTTGGTTGGTGTACCTGTTCATCCACTTTGTGGGGAAAGAAATGGAGTCTGAGACTAGATTATATATTTTCTTCACTCATATTATGTAATAATTATGTGTAATATATTTTATACTATTAATATTGTGTATTTTATATAATGCACTTAATGTTATTTAGTGTTGAGTGATTCATAACTGTTGATAATCAATACACAAATGTAAATGTGTGTTAAATGTAATTCACTCATAGTACTCATACTCATGGGCAGTGGTGAACGGCCTGTCTCTCCCTGATGGGAAGATATGCTAGAAGATAGGCAGGGTTGTCAGGCATCCTGTATATACAGATATGTCCTGTATGTAATGATTTTTGTCATGTCCCATTAATTTGGCCAGAAAAAACTAAATGTCCTATATTCAGCTTTTTCTCAATACATTACAAAAATTCATCAGGTTAAGCCAGTTGAGTGTCTTGTATTTTTATTTGCTAAATATAGCAATCTAAAGATCAAAAACAATCAGGTCTGGGGTAGAGACATATCAAATGACATGGGAGTGAGCACTGAAGATCTTTGTATAGTACATTAACACCAGAGTTAAGCCATTTCAGAAAAGGCACCAAGAAACCAAGTCAACAAACTATCTCAGTCCATTGATGTCAGGCAGCCTCTGTCATGAGCAACTTTAGTGCTGCCACAAAAACAACATGAACAAAAACCATGGTGGCAGAGATGGAGGCTGCACGTGGGCTGCCTGCAAGGACTCTCATTTATCAGGGCTGACCTCATTACCACAGCACTGAATATCCACCTGTGCCATGCAGAGATCAATGCTTAGCAACCAGCACAGCACTATTTTTTCAGGAGATCAACCAGTCCTTGATGGCAATTTGACTACATTGAGCCTTTCCGTCCTGGGAGGGCCAGAAGTTTGTACTCAAAGAAATAAGCACATATAATGGGGAATTTACCTTCCTTGCTGGCAGAGCCCTGGCCAGCACCACTATCCAGGGTTTACAGTTGATTCACAAGCACAGGATCCTAAATAACATCAAATAAGAGAACCCATTTGATAGCAAGTAAGTGTAAGGGAGGGTCTGTGGTATGGGATAGCTGACTGGCATGTCACACCAGAACAGAATACACAACCTAAAAACATAGGGCCAGAGACAACATGAAAGTTACCGCCAATCAATTTTCTTTGAATTTGACATGTCTTTGTTGGAAGTTAGTTTCAAGAAAGTATTAATGTGGGGCCTCCCCAGTGGCGCAGTGGTTGAGCGCTGGATTGCGAAGCTGCCCGCAGCCTCTGCAGCGCCAATTTGATACCCGGCCACCAGGCGAGGGTCCCACATGGCGTGCAGACCTCTCCTGCCGCCCGCTGCTCCCCTCAGCAGTGTACTTCGGTCCTTCTGCCTGCTCTGCTCCCTGCTCTGGCTCTGGTGAATTCTCTCACCCTCCCACGCTTCTGACTGTACCCAGTGCTTGTATAAATAAATAAATAAATAAATAAATAAATAAATAAATAAATAAATAAATAAATCTTAAAAAAAAAAAAAAAAAAAAGAAAGAAAGTGAAAGAAAGTATTAATGTGTATACATACCTTATCAGTAATTGTATTACTCAGTATTTCTGGGAAATATTATGTCATCATCACCCAGGTTTAACTTGCCAAGTTATTAAATGGCTACACTGTTACTGAAAACTTGCTAACCTTGTCTAACAGAATTCTCCTTTAAGAATGTTTGAGAAGGGCCTCCCCGGTGGTGCAGCGGTTCAGCGCTGGGTTGTGAAGCTGCCCGCGGCCTCTGCGCCGCCGGTTCAATCCCCGGCTGCTCCCCGGCCACCGAAGGAGGGTCCCACATGGTGCGCAGACCTCTCCTGCCGCCCGCTGCTCCCCTCAGCAGTGTGCTTCGGTCCTTCTGCCTGCTCTGCTCCCTGTTCTGGCTCTGGTGAATTCTCTCACCCTCCCGTGCTTCTGACTGTACCCAGTGCATGTATAAACAAAACAAACAAACAAACAAATAAATAAATAAAAACATGCCTCTATAAAAAAAAATAAAAATAAAAAAAAAAAATGTTTGAGAAGCCAGAGTTCTTTTTTTCTGATTTCCTTGCTATGAAATGTGGGGGAAAATTTTTTTGACAAGTGCTCATAATCTAGTTTGTCTGAGGTTGTCCTTTAATGTCTGTGCTGAGCCCCACAGTTCTGGGACACTTAAGTACTGAGATTCTATTCTGCTATCCTTATGAAAGTCTCTTTCCAAGAAATTACCTCCACTCTAAAGAGATGTGTGGAAAATACCAGCACAGAATGGCTCCTTGTGAAACCCTGAGTTGAGAACAGTCAATCCTTGCTTGAAGATCCAACTGTGCAGGAGCTGAAGCTTCCATGGATTACTGAGAAACTGCAGCTTACACTTTGCTTTCTAGAAACACAATAGCTGTGTAAACTTTCGTTTTTTTTTTTTTTTTTTTAGATTTATTTATTTATTTATTTATACACGCAGTGGGTACAGTCAGAAGCGCAGGAGGGTGAGAGAATTCACCAGAGCCAGAGCGGGGAGCAAAGCAGGCAGAAGGACTGAAGTACACTGCTGAGGGGAGCAGCGGGTGCTGCAGGAGAGGTCTGAGTGCCATGTGGGACCCTCCTCCAGTGGCCGGGGAGCAGCCGGGGATCGAACCGGCGCCGCAGAGGCCGCGGGCAGCTTCGCAACCCAGCGCTCACCACTGCGCCACCGGGGAGGCCCTCATTTGTTTTTTAATGAAGTACAACAAAAAATAGTTGAGGATTCTTTAATACTAAAAATGTAACCCACTATGTCAATATTATCAACCATGCTCTGCCACACATTTATCTAAAGACATCTGCTTACTGTTCACCAGTTTTAACCACCACAACCTCATCACTGTTGTAAAACAATGTAGACTTGTTGATTGATAAAGTGCAGACTAAACAGGGAGTTGAGTTGATACAGCTCTAGGAAAAGTCAACATGTACTATTGTCCCTGCCAAATGAAGACAAACTGTTTCTGGAATTTGATTACTGGGACAAAGGAAAAAGCATCTGCCAGATCAGTAAAATGTACAACTACAGGCTGTATTGATTTGCTCCAGTAAAGAACCATCTGAAATAGTAGCTGAATTTAATCTGGTGACACCAGTGTCAGACTTCTGGCCTCTAGAACTTAAGAGAATATACTTGTATGAACTAAAAGACATGAAGTGGGAGCCAGGCTACCTTCAGTTATGAATACAATTTTTTAAAAACAGTAAGGAAAACATAGCAGAGAGAAATATTATAAGTTGTAAATTATACAATAATTATAATATAAAATGATACAGTTAAAACTAAAATCTCCATACATGTCATATCAATTTATGTAAATGGCCTAAGAAACTTACTAAAAGGAAAAAGAATATATGCAGATTGCTTCACACACAACTGCCTATGATTGACAAAAAAGAAAAAACAAAGGGCTAAAAATTAAAACAACAGGCAGAGGTAGTCAAGAAAATGCAGACTAAAGGAATATTGGGATTCTGATCCTAAAGTGACATAACTTTTGCACAAGATTACTTTAAAACCTTACTTATAATAGCAAAATATAGAAAGTAACTGATATGGGCCTCCCTGGTGGCGCAAGGTGTTAACCACAGCAATGTGAAGCTATCCGTAGCCTCTGCAGCATGAGTTAGATCCTGGCTGGCCAGGGAGCTACCCACATGGTGCAGCAGACCTCTCCTCTCTCACCCACTGCTCCCCTCCTCAGTGTGTTTAAATCAGTCTACCTATTCTGCTCCCCACTCTGTCTCTGGTGAATCCTTTCACCCTCCCACACCTCTGGCTTGTACCCCAGTTTTGGTATGCATACATAAATAAGTCTTTAAAAAAAAGAAAAAAAGAAAATAGCTGACATGCCTAACCATAGGAGACTAAAACCTGTGTAATAATCATGGCATGGAGTTCCAGGCAACAGTAAAATTTGGGGGCAATCTCTATGAACTGATGTGAGGTGACTTCCAGAACATACTGTTAAATAGGAAAAAAAAGCAAAGTGAAAAAGAATTATATGGTATGCTGCCTTTTCGTAAGGGAAAAAAAAGTGAAATAAGAGTCTATACACATATTAACTTATTTATGTAAAAAGTGAATGGGAATGAGGGGAGAAGCTAGAGGTGGAGGAAAGACTTCTCTAAATACATTTGTTCTATATCGATTTGGCTCTTCAGGTATGTGAACAGTTTAAAATTTCAAAGAATAAAATTTAAGTTAGCAGACACCAAAATTAAATATACACATATTCAGATAAACCTAGCTACATATCCAAGATAATATAATTCCACATACAGATAACACAAGCAACTTTAACACAACATTTTAACTAGCCAACGAAATGAAACTGCAAAATAGTGTTCATATTTATTTGGTTTATCAAATAATAATTTATCAATTGTTGATAGTGCCATTTTTATTTATTTATTTATTTATACAAGCACTGGGTAAGTCAGAAGCATGGGAGGGTGAGAGGATTCACCAGAGCCAGAGCGGGGAGCAGAACAGGCAGACTGACGAAATACACTGCTGAGGGGAGCAGCGGGCGCGGCAGGAGAGGTCTGTGCGCCATGTGGGACCCTCGCCGGCGGGCCAGAGATAGAACCGGCACTGTAGAGGCCGAGGGCAGCTTCGCAGCCCAGCGCTCAACCGCTGTGGATAGTGGCATTTTTTAAATTACAGTATTACAGGATAGAATAAACGATAAAATATATAGATTTGGAGGAGACAGGCTTTTTAAAAAATTTAATATTGCATATTGTTTCAGGTGTGCATCATTACAAATCAACATGTGTATATTCTACATTAAGTTCACTAAAAACCCAGGTCTGTCCTTCACATACAATTGACCCCTTTAACCTAATTTACCGGACTTCCCATTTTCCCCCTCCCTTCTGACAACCACTAAATGTTCTTATAGTCTAAAAGTTTATTTTTGTTTTATTCATTTCATTTGTTTGTTTGGCTTTTCTATGTACCACATGTGAATGAAATCATAGGATGTTTGTCTTTCACAGTCTGACATTTCACTAACAATGGTACATCCATACTATGAAATATTATTCAGCAAGAAAAATGACTTCTCAATACAGAAAAAGACATAGAAGAACCTTAAATATATATATATATATATATATATATATATATATTTAAGGAGTCATTTTAAAAGTAGCAATATGCTATAAGTTTCCATTTCTATAACATTGTGGAAAATCCAAAACTATAGAGATAGCAAAAAGATTGGTGGTTGGGGGGAAGGAGAGAGGGATGAATTGGTGGAGCAGAGGCATTTTTATGTCAGTGAAGCTATTCTCTGTGATACTGTAATTGTGGATACATGAAATTATGCATCTGCCAAAATCCACAGAATTGTAAAACAAGACAGCTCTTCCTAGGGAAAGGAACCACTTAAAGAATTACTCCCAAGGACTGTATCCCAGAAACCACATCTGCTGGAGGCCCCCACAATATGGTGGACTTCAATGCTTTAAAGCAATGAGACTCTGGAGAGCAGGTAAATGTATTTTATATGTGGAAAAATGTGAAACATTAGTGGCCAGAGAGTGAATTTTGGAAGTTTTAAATAATGACCCCAAATTACTTAATTTTTCCTCCATCAAAATGATTCTGTTACTACTTAACTAATAGAATACACAACAAAGATTATGTTAGGTTCTGGTTCCAGGCCTTAAGTGTTAAAGAACACACATATATTCGATACTTACTAAAGATGGCAAGGCAGGCTTTAGTCAGGATCATACAGGAGGTAGGAGCCACTGCAGTGGGATTGTGCAAAGTGAGAGAGATGGGTTCAACTCTGAATACAGCCTGGGTGAGTAGGAATTTAGCCACAAAAGGAGCAGAGAGTTAGATGTTAGTGGATCGACAATTACTAAGAGGAAGCAGCAAGGGTAAGAGGGATTCTGGCTAAACCTACCTGGACAGAATTTCTGTTGAAAGCAAGGGAGGGTGATCTGACATCACCGGGGGAGGGTTGAGGCTTGGGAACCTATCAGACATGAAGAAGAGGGTTAACACTAAGGTCCCAGCAGCAGGTTGTGCTGGGGAGCCTGACTAGTTTGTTCAAAGCAAAGAACCTTTGTCTTAAGAAACCAGCGGTTTCTATTTCCTGTTTTGGGGGACGCCTGCTTTCAAAACCCGCTGCCACGCTGTGCAAATCAAGACCACACAGACAGGCCATGTATAGACATTGCAGCAGCCTCAGCTCAGGTGCGAGACGAGTCAGCAACAAACATGCGCAAGGGAAGTCCTTGAGATGACTTTAGTCCCAGTTCCCATGACTGCACCACACGAGAGACCCTAAGTGAGAATCGCCTGGGGTGATAAGCTCGCTAATTAGTTCACTAGCTAAGCCTAGTGAGCTCCCAGGGCCACGAGCGGTAACAACACGAATGGCCGCCGAAAGTGCGACTGCACCCCAACTTTATTTTATTTTAAAGATTTATTTATTTATACAAGCACTGGGTACAGTCAGAAGCGCGGGAGGGTGAGAGAATTCACCAGAGCCAGAGCAGGGAGCAGAACAGGCAGAAGGACCGAAGTACACTGCTGAGGGGAGCAGCGGGCGGCAGGAGAGGTCTGCGCGCCATGTAGGACCCTCCTCCGGTGGCCGGGGAGCAGCCGGGGATCGAACCTGCACTGCAGAGGCTGCGGGCAGCTTCGCAACCCAGCGCTCAACCGCTGCGCCACCGGGGAGGCCCTGCACCCCAACTTTAACTCTCCATACAGCTTCAGGCAATCGGCAATTCGGGCGAGACTCCTGAGCCCTTTCTGGGGAGACTCCTGAGCCCTTTCTGGGGAGACTCCTGAGCCCTTTCTGGGGAGACTCTTGAGCCCTTTCTGGGGAACTGTGATTGGCTCACGCCAGTCGGGATCTTCTGCTCAATGGGCGTTTCTGTCCCCAGAAAGGGCGCGGGCCTATTGGCCGAAACGCGCACCCGTCCTCACCTCCGTAGTGTGGGTAAAAACTGGAGACGACCCGAGGAGCCAGCGCCCCCGGAAGTGACGTTTGGAGCCGCTTCCTCGAGTGCGGCCCAATGAATTCTCTCCTGGGCCGCAAATTCAGCCCTTGAGTCCGCCCGAGAGGAAAAGCGCTGTGATTGGTTGTTGAGTCCGGGGGCACAGGGCTTCACGGGAGCCAGGCCCGAGCTGTCGTCACTAGTGTGGGCCGGCCCGTCTGTCAGCCCCGCCCCGGGTGGGCGGGGCCTCTTCCCCCCCCCCCTCGGCACCGCCTCTTCCTGGGCGCGCGCGCGGGGCGTCTCCGGGCCGCAGGGGCTGGGACCCAGGCGCGTGGGCGGGGCCGCCCCGCCAGACCCGGACGGCTTCTCGGCCGCCCAGCGCCGCAGCGCCCCGGAGCGCAGGGCCGCGCGGGGCGGGCCGGGCGGGGGGCGAGCGCGGGGGCGGGGCTAGGGCGGGGCCGGCGGAGGCGGAAGCGGCGAGCGCGCTCCGGCCGGAGCCAGATAGAAGCAGCGTCCGGGCCCGCGGAGCGGCGTCGGCGGGGTTGGCCGGGGCGGCGGGGCGTTAGCGCCGGGGCGGGCGGGCCGAGGGCCGGGGGTCGAGGCCGGGGAGCGGGTGACGGGCGGGCTCGACCCCGCGCGGTCGTCGGGGCGGGCTGAGCTCCCGCCCCCGCGCAGTCCCGGGGAGGATGCGGCCGGGGGCCCGGGGCGGGGCGGGCGGCGGCGGCGGCGGCAGCGCTAGCGGCGCGGAGGGTGGGCGGCGGCGGCGGCATGAGGCGCGGGGCCGGCGCCGGCGGGAGGGACGTGCTGCCGGCGGCCCGGCCGCTCCCGCTGCAGCTGCTCGCCGGGCTCGCCGTGCCCTGCCCGCGGGGCCCCGGCCGCTCCCGTCCCGGCCGTCGCCCGGGCCGCCGCTGGTGACCACTCGCCGCGCCGCCGGAGGCTTCACCCGCGCCCTCCCCCAGGACGCGCCCGCGGAGCGCCGGCCCCTGCGCCCCGCTCGCGGAGGCCGCGCTGCGCGCCGGGCGGCGGCGAGGCCGGAAGATGGCCTGGGTGCTCAAGATGGACGAGGTGATCGAGTCCGGGCTGGTGCACGACTTCGACGCCAGCCTCTCGGGCATCGGGCAGGAGCTGGGCGCCGGCGCCTACAGCATGAGGTACGGGGCGCCCGGGCGGGCGGGCGGGCGGGCGGGAGGGCGCCCCCGGGCCCTGGGGCGCGACGTGCGGGACCCTGGGCCTCTGCCAGGCGCGGCTGCGCCCGGCGGTGCCCTGGCCGCGGGGTCGGGGCCCTGCCGCGTGGCGCCCGGGGCCTGGGCGCCCGCAGAGCCCCGCAGGGCGCTGCCCGCCGTGGGGGCCGGCGGGCGAGCGCGGCCCGGCTGCCCGCGGCCCGGGACGAGCTCCGGCGGGCTTTATTTTCGCACGCCCGGCTGGTGGGGTAGCTTGAGTTGATGGGGGAAGGGGCTGCCTTTCCTTGCAGGAGATTTACATGCCACTTTCCTGCTGGAATACACCGCAGAAAATGGCAGGACTTGGGCTGGGAAAATACTCTCCAGGGTTTTGATACCAGTTTGAAGTCTGTTGTCCTACTAAAATGTAGGACTTTTGCAGGTTGCAATTTTTAAGCACTGGATATTGTAGTAGTAATTAATATCTTAGGTGAAAGCCGCACGGGGTGGGGTGGGGGGAAGCATGTTAACTTAGTTGTGCTTTTTGATTATCTCAAAGTGAAATTTTTCGTTTGGGGAACTCCCCTCGCAGGCTGTTACCTTTTGAAGACGGTTTTAGAATGCAGTAATGGCACCACAAACAATAGTTTGTTCAGTCTCTGCTGACTGTACCGGCAGCCTTCATTTTGTTAATTTTGAGAGGTTGAAACAACTGAGCTTACTTAGTCTCTGGTCCTTATTGTGAAGAATACTGTTTTTAAACAATCAGTTTGGCACACTTTATCTTTTAGCATATTTGTTGAAATACAGCTTATGTCCTTTAAGTTCACTCAATTAGTGTAAAAATTTGATGATTTGGCAGCTTTTCGTTAATGCGAGTTGAGATTTTTCCAAAATATGTTCTTTAAAGTAATGCTGATGTCTTTGAAGTGCTTTCCAGTTTTCCAGTAGCTTTCATTCATCTCACTGCAGCTGGGGGTGGGAGGTGCCAGATGCAGGGTGCCAGACAGGGAGCTTAAATGTCCTGGAAAAGACATGGGTCAGAGCAGGCCTGAAATGGTAGGGAGAGCTGCTCTCTGAAATAATATAGCATTTAAACAATAATAATAATACAGTGGGAATGGAAGAACTCTGAGAAAGGGATGTTTGAGTTTGGAAGCACCTGGAGGAAAGCCTCTTATGAGCTGCTGACCCTGATTGGTGTCTTTGCCTCTCCCAGTACTTGGCATTTCTCTCTCTGCAGTTGTGCAATTCGAGGTCTCTAGATGAGGTGGCTTGTTTTCTAGAACAACTGTCTCAGTTGTTGAGGACATTGAGCTACTGACATTCATAGCATGGCCCCAGATGGGAGTTTTAGAGGCAGTGATTCCCTCGTGGAAACATGGGCCTCTAGTGCCTCACTCCTTGAGACCTTAGACTTGCAGTCAGGATACATTAGGGCTTGTGAGGCAAACGCAGTGTCTTTTCATTTGCTTCTCAGTTCTGTTATGGTACCATGAGAGTTTGCTGCTTTTTCCATCATTTGGTGGTGATCTTTCTGACTAGGAGGAAAATCAGTTGGAAATGTTGTATGTATTTTTTTCTTGTTGTTTGTATCTACTTTTCCTCCAGAGTCTTGCTGAACTTAATAGTTCAAGTAATTTGCAGGATCTCAGATTTCTATATCAACAATTTCTTTAATGATAGATTTGTATCTTCCTGTGTAATCCTTACATTTCATTTTCTTGCCTTAGTGTGCTGGTTAGAACTTCACTGAATTGTTTAGAACTAAAAACTTGAATCCTTATTTATACAGATTTTGGAGAATGCTTCAATGTTTCATAAATAGAATGTCCTTGTTCCTAGATGAGATTGGACCTCAATTTTCTATTTGTGTACACCTGTCGTTTTTTAAAGCTGTCAAAGCTATATGAGTTCAAGTGAGTTAGATAGCTTCCTCTTCATGGGCTAAAATTTTTTTATGAGATGACTTGTTTCTTCAAAGTTCTGTAAAGCGTACCTGGAATACAGCTTGGATTTGGTGATTTTTATATTAGCAGATGTGATTACATGTTATTTAATGGACATGGGAATATTTTGATTCTATATGTTAGTTATGGTAATTTTTATTTTCATAGAAAGTATCTACTTTAACTTAGATACTTCCAGAAAAATCACTACAGTGTTTGTGCTTATTCCCTTTTCCTTCCTTGTCCTACTTTATCATGTCTTTCTTTATTTCAGAAATTTGTTTTTATATCTTTAGGTTTTTTTCGAAGTTTCCAAATTTGGGGTTTTTCCTATTAAATTTTCTTTTATATAGTTATTTTCTTACTCCTTTTGTTGCTTACTCTTATGTCCCAACTTACTGAGGTGGATGCCTTCTTAGTTTCTGATTTTTGATAGATCTTTCTAATAGAGGTGTGTCTAATAGATGTATATTTATCTGTAAGTGCCATTAGTCTTACAAGTTTTGAAGTCTTCACCTTTGTTTTCATTCAGTTTGAATTATTTTCTTGCATATTATAGTTCTTTATATATTCTAAATAGTTTTGGGTTTATATGTATGTATTTACTACACACTTTCTGCTACTCCCTGACTTGTCTTTCTGTTCTTTTTATGGAAGTTACCGATGTTGATGTGGTCAATTTGACCAGTCTTTTCTTTATAGTTAGTCTTTCCCTACTCTGAAGGTATTAAGATATTCTTGTAGGCTTCTCTAAGAGATTTATTACTTTACACCAAAGTTTAGTCTGTCTAGAGTTGATTTTCTTTCGTTTTTGGTACATGAGGTTATGAGGCTAATTGTGGTTTTTCCAATATAAATAGCAAGTATGTCAGAGAATCGCCTATTGAAAAGATAATTTGATTCTCACCTCTACATATAATGCCATTCTGTTTCCAGAGTCTGTCCTCTCCATGGGTTCTTGGGGAGTACCCAGCTAAATCATGGCTTGTTGTCATCTTGGATTTGGTTTGTTAATACTCAATTTAGAATTTTTGCATCTATATTTATGGCTGAAATGAGCTTTTCATTTCTTTTCTAATTCTGTTCATACCTGGTTTTAACTTCATAATTACATTAATCTCAAAATGAGTTAGGAAGTATTTCCTCTGCTACTGCTTTTCTAAAGAGTTTGTATAGGAGCAGTCCATTGAAAGTTTGGTAGAACTTGCCTATAAGCCATCCTAGACTAGGCATTTTCTTTTGGGGAGGGAATGATTTTTAACGACAGTATCTATCTCTGTAGGGTTTTTTTTTTTGAAAGTTCTTTTTTTATTTTGAAAGATTTATTTATTTTTTTATACAAGACCTGGGGTGTAGGCCAGAGGCACGGGTGGGTGAGAGCATTCACCAGAAACAGAGCAGGGAGCAGAACAGACAGAAGACCAAAGTACACTGCTGAGGGGAACAGCGGGCGTGACAGGAGAGGTCTGACACGCCATGTGGCAATCTCCCTGGCCGGCCAGGAATCGAACCTGCACTGCAGAGGCTGCGGACAGCTTCACAGCGCTGCGCTCAACTCTCGCTGTACCACTGGGAAGGCCCCTGTGGAGTTATTTTGAAAAACTTTTTATATTTTAAAGGAAGTCTTGATAAATTAGTTTTGTAGGAAATTGTTCCTCTTATCCATATTTTAGGCATGAAGTTAAGTACAAGTTTCATCTTTTTAGATTTTATATCATTAATTGTATCTTTTATTCATATTTCTATGCCTCGAGAAATTGATCAGAAATAGAGGGTACAAATATTTATGTTTTTAGAGCATATTAGACCATTTCTCTTGTCTGCCCTTAATCTTTGTGACTATGAGGAGTTCCATATTTTCAGGACAGTCTTTTCCTTCTGCACTCTGACCCACAGAAAGGATCCCACCCCACCCCTCTGCCTCCTGGATATCTGCCATCAGAAAATCCCCGATAAATGGTCAGTGTTATTGGTCGAGCTGTATCTCTCTCAAAAGATGTGTTAACGTCCGAACCCTCAGTACCTCAGAATGTGACCTTGGAAAAACAGTTCTTTACAGATGGAATCAAGTTAGATGAGGTCATCAGGGTAGACACTAATTGAGTATTACTGATGTCCTGTTAGAGGGGGAATTTGGGCACAGGAACAGACATGCATAGAGGGAGGAGTATGTCAAGACACACAGGGAGAACCTGGCCGTGTGATTGATTCTCTCACGGCCCTCAGAAGGATGCAACCCTGCTGACACCTTTATTTTGGATTTCTGGCCTCCAGACTGAGACAGTAAATTACTGTGCTTTAAGCCATTCAGCTTTTGGTGCTTTGTTACAGCAGCCCTAGGAAGCATAGCCCGTTTCGTGTCTCAGTGATATCTTTACCTTGTGCTTTGGGAAACCTGGTTCTGAGTTGACCCTTCCCCCTGAAGCCTTCCTAAGTCATGGAACTGCACCAGAGGTGTGGGGAGGGATCCCCCTCATTACTCTTCTCCCTTATTCCTCCCCTGCAAGACCTCCCCAATTTTGCATTTTATGTCACCGAATATTACCTCTTATCCAGTTATTACAGTCATCCACTGATTCCTTGGTCTTACTCCTTTTTTCACTGTTAGGTCCTGATTCATTGTCTGACACTAACACTGTCTAGTCACTGTTTAACACTGCTACTTGGCAATTTCAGGAGGTATTTAAATGGGCCTTTAAATATTTCTGTTCCTTGATTGCAGTGGTATCTTCACTTGGTCTGTGGTTGTACATTAGACCTTGACTTTACCCATCATTCTCCCCACTTGCAATCTAAATGCAGAGTTGCAGCTCTGACTACCACTTCCTGCCCTTTCCCTCACTACTACTTTTGCCATCATTTTACCCATCTCCAGTCAGTGGTCCTAGTCTCTGTCCCTCACCCTTGTGAATCTCTCTTTTCTTCTCCAGTCAGTTTAATTTTCTGTGGTCAGTCATAATAATTCCTTCCTTGCATATACTCTCGTCTCAAGTTATCTAAACAACTGAATGTGTCTCTGGAAAAACATTGATTTGTTCTCACTTCAAGTGGATGACAGCTCTAGATGCATCTTCCTGCTGGTGGGTAGTTTCACTGTAGTGTTCCCTTCCATCCCCTCCCCAACTCTTCTAGAAGCCATAATGACTCCTCACACCCATTAACTCCTCCTCCCTATTTCAGCCTATTTTCAACTGCTGGCCTTACTTGGTATCTTATTGAGAATATTGAACATTCACAGGCTTGTTTCTCCTGATATATTTAGATGTAAACCTTTCCTTTACCTTGCTTTAGTTATTTGGGATTCTTGAATTACTAAATAGGTATTTTTTTTTTTTTTAATCAGCTTTCAATTTGCTTAGCTTTTTTCTAAAATACTACCTCTGTCCCTTTCTGTTCTGTCCTGGGACGTGAGAGTAAGACCTTTTTGTCCTGTTTTCTACATTTTCCATCATTTCACTTTGTGTGCTGCCTTCTGGATAACTTTTTATCTACATTCCAGGTCCCTTATTTATTCTTCATTTCTGTCTTGAGTTGCTATTAAATGTGAATTCTCAATGTTAGTAATTTTATTTCCCAGTTCTAGAAGTTTTGTTTGTTCCTTTTCGGTTTTATTGTCCTTAAATTTTCCTGTTCTTGGCCTCCCTGGTGAAGCAAGGGGTTAAAACACAACCTATGAAGCGGTCTGCAACCTTTGCAGCACAAGTTCGATGCCCGGCTGGCCAGGGAGCAACCCACATGGTGCAGCAGACCTCTTTGATCTCACCTGCTGCTCCCCTTGTTATAGGACAGGGAGAGGGGCAGCCCAAACCCCGCAAACCTGCCTATTCTACATGGGTTCTGCCATCCGCCGCATCAACACAAAACATAGGAGACTTTAATGGGAAGGAACTTTAATAAAACTAGGAAACAATACAGGTAAGGCAAAGAGTTTAGTTTCTAAATGAAGCATCCAGAGTTACCCGTCCCCTTGTGGGTAAAAGTCCATCCAAATGGGATTGGCCCAGAACAAGGCCCCAAAGCCTGCCACAAGTCTAAAGCATCTTCCAGTGGGGACCCACAGAAAAGGGTCACAAACAACTGGACAAGCCCCGAAGGAAAAGAGCAAAATCAACATCAAGATAAAAGCTGCCATTGTCACCTCTCCACGGGTCTCACCCACATCTGTGTCACCCAGTCCACGACCAAAAGACAAGCGCAGTTTCTTCACGTGTCTCTAGGCTCCATGCGCCTCCTCCAGGTCTCCTTGCTCCATCCTGCTCCTTCCTCCTTCTCTTCTTCAGCTTCTCCTCTTCCTGCTCAGCTCCACCCTCCCTTGGGTGGGGCAGGGAACCTGGAACTTCCCCCTTTCCTGGGGACCACCCTGTTACACCCTCAGCAGTGTATTTCAGTCAGTCTGCCTGTTCTGCTCCCCACTCTTTCGCTGGTGAATCCTCTCACCCCCCGCACTCTGGCCTGTACCCCAGCTCTTGTATGCATAAATAAATAAATATTTAAAAAAAAATTTTTTCCTGTTCTTTGCAGATCTTTTCAGGCTTGTCTTTATTTCCTTAAACAGAGTACACATAATTTTATAGTATGGATCTAATAATTCTAGCTTCTAAAGTCTTTGGGATATCAGTCTGTTTCAGTGAAGACAGTAGAAGCCATTTACATGTTTCAAACTGAGAAGGATTTAGTGAAGTACTTGATTGTAAAGGAGCAAAAAGTGTTGGGGACGGGGGTCTGATACTTGGTTACTCCTGTGCAGGCTACTAGAAGCTTCACCACTGCCCTGAAATTTCCTGCATTTGTAGACTCTGCCCTTTCCTTTTGCCTTTTAACTTCCCACAGTGCTTCCCCTTACAGCAAGCCTAAAAGACAGATTCCAGTTGGCAAAAGTCTTGTATATGTAGTTTTCAGGCCTCTAACCCTCTGCAACAGAGGCAGAAAAGAGCTGAATACCAACAGACAGAGTCTGGAACTGGGATATGCCATCTGTTATTTTTGCTGTTGGTTCTTCCTCCTAGAGCCTTGTTTGTCGTCGTGTGCCTGGTTATTTTTGGGTGCTGGCATTTTGGTACTCATTGGAATAATTTGAAGCGTAAGGCTTTGCATTTGTTGTCAGGTTCCTGGAGAGCTACCTGTCTGGGAGTACAAAAATGACCAAGTATTAAAACTTTCTTATAGTTCAACCTTGTAGAAATTATGATCTTAAATTATCTGGAGACCTAGTTTTCTGCTTTAATAATTATTAACGCTGCAATTGGTTCATTGACTCAGCATATTGAGCTCCTTTGTGCTAGGAACTGGGGTTAGTCAGTGAAGAGAAGGAAATTTAAGAGATGGTTGTACACTTATGGGGAATACAAATTTTTAAGTCGTGTATACAGTCAGAAAATGACAAGCTTTGTGAATAAATAGGACAGGAAAAGAGAAATTATGATTATGGGTGGAAGATTGCAGTTGTCATCACAGAGATGGTGATATTTGAATGAAATGAGCTAATAGGACCTCCGACAGGCGTGTAGTGACAGTGCAAAGGCCCTAAAAGGGGGCGCTGAAGACTGATGGGGCCATGGTTTTAGAGTAAACATGAAGCTTATGCTCTCAACAATCTGGTCAGACCAGACCTAGCAGGGAAAAAAAAATTTTTGTAAAGTAACATTTTAATCAAATGTGTCTTTGTGATTAGGTGGTGCCAGTGTGACCTGTTGTTGGCAACAGTAATAGTTCTGCCTTTCAAAAAGGCAGCTAAGCTCACTTGCTCTTTTTTCAATAGAAATAATACAGAGTTTAAACTTTCTGCAAAGGTTTTTGAAATACTTTTTTAAAGTATGATTTTAAATGCAATCTCTTTTATCAGTAGCCTAGACTTTATTTACTGTTAAATTTTTGTTCTTATTTCTGTTCTTATTTTTGTTATTTTATCTGCCTAATTGTAGCCATCACACTCTCCCCACACCCACACTTAGAGATATGGGTTGTTAATACTGTCTTTTAGGTAAACCCAGATAAGTATGAATAGTTCCTTTATTTTACACATCATTTCTGATTTTATACTTTAAAAGAAACTACCCCTAAATGTTTTTATATTCTCTTAAGTATTCAAACCCAAAATATTTGTTCCATGTACTTTTAATATTTTTAAACCCATAGTGAGGTAAATGTTGATTTTTTTTTTTTTTTTGCTTTTCAGTGATGTCTTGGCATTGCCTATTTTCAAGCAGGAAGATTCCAGCCTTCCATTGGATGGTGAAACAAAACACCCACCCTTTCAGTATGTGATGTGTGCTGCAACCTCACCAGCAGTAAAACTGCATGATGAAACACTCACTTACTTGAACCAAGGTTAGTATGACTCTTTCGCACGTTGATGTAAGAATTTATGAAAACCCAAAATGTTACAGCATTGCAGCCTAGATTACTGGTAATAATTTAATATTTCATTCTTTTTCTTAAATGGTACAACTTCAGTTAACAAAAATTGCACTGTGAGCCAACTGCCTAATAGTTTGCGGAAAGTGACTTGCACACAGGGACTGTGGAACGAGATTTATTACAGGGTTTTTCAGACAAAAATCCAGAGGAGGAACAAGTAGGAAAGGATGTCAGTTATTTTTAGGAACAGTGTTTTCAATGTGAAACTTGAGAGTGAATCAAAAGTCCAGCCAGTAAAGAACCTGGGCCTCAGGCTTGAAGCAGGTTTGTGCTGAAAATAGACATAAGCTGCACCAAGATGGAGTCTATGGTGAAAGTATACATGTCATGTCAGATTTTATATACTCATATCCTGATGCTTTGAGACTTACATTTTGGTGATATTAAAGAGAGACTGGAAAATTGAGATGTGGGGGTAAATTTACTTTTGAAAGGTTTAAGGAATTGTTGAGGTACTCTCCGCATTTTGCACACAGGCCAAAATAAAATACCAATGTAAAAGAAGTACTTAGTTATGCAAATTAATTTTTTGGCATGTTGAATTCTTTTTTCTAAAAATAAATTGAACATTTTTAATATAGAGTACCTGTGCCATTATACATCCCACCAAGGTTAACTGTGGTTAATTAATATTGTAGTTATATTTCCTAGTGTGTTACATATTTTTTAACTAAATTATATACCTACTGTTGTATATTGTGTTTTTTTTTTTTTGGTCATTAAATCTTTAATCCTGTGCATTTTTTAGTCACACTTATACTCTGAAATGTAGAAGAGTAAGTTATCTCTAACTTTTCCTTTGATATGTATATATTTAGAATTTATGAGGTTTTATTTCAGGTAATTATCTATAGTATCTGGGACAATTCCCTAACTTTGTTTTTAATATCAGTTTAGTATTAGGCTTTTAGTTAGTTGCAACTTAAGTTTCAAGTTTGAAAGACCCTTAAGAGTTTATTTGGTAATCTGTTTTAGACATAAAAATATCAGAAGATACAAGGCAGAGACAAGGATAGTAACAGTAACTTTATTACTAATGACAAAAAAGGAAATAATCTGTCTTTACTTGGGGAATAATCGTTGAATGAGTTCTGTTATATACATACCATAGGTTGCGCGCACTCTTATTTAAAGGAATGTGTTGGATATGTCTGTTGACTTGGGGAAATAGTCATTATTTACCATTATTAAACCAGATAAAGATACATCATGATAAAAGTTGTGATCCAGTGTCTGCAGTGATGACGTCTTAGACTGATACTCACTGAGCTTACTGTATGCAGTAATATAACTAAGTACTTTTAATGCATTAGCTTTATGGTTCTCTTAAGAGAAATAACTGAACTGAGAGCAGTTGATAAACTTGCTCAATGTCAGTTTGATCAAGCTTACATTCTTAAAATTTGTTGAAAAATACACAGTATTGTGCATAAGCCTCAAATGTATACAGCTCAGTAGCTTTTACATATTCTGTTCCCTTGAAACGATTATATATGACCAATATTTCCAGCACCCCAGGGGAGCCTCCCCCATCCCTGCATGACTCCAGCATTTATCACTATTATAAGTGCAGGGGGTTTTCTTGTATTTGACTATGCTCACTGCCGTATTAATGAGGAGTATTTTCTGGCTTAGAATAGTGTGAATTTCTTTAATTTTTCCCCATCTTTTAAGAGAAAAGAGACAAGTGAACTACATGCGTGTGTGTATATATATTTAATAAAAATGTGTTTGAGTAATCATTAAAATGCATTAGAGTAATCATAAAGGAGTTCTACTTCCATGTACCTTTCAAAAGGAAATTACAATTCTATAATCTTAATATACATGCTATCAAATATACATACAGTGTGTCTAAGTCTTTTACAGACTTAGCTCCTAACATTGATTACTGTCAAGATTTTTGGTGATTCTGAACTGAACATTTTTCATGAATCTCCTTAAATTGATTTCAAGTTTTTTACTGTTACTTTTCTAAGGAGAGGATCCATGGTGCTATCCAGATACAGGCATGTTTCAGACCTGTTGAAGATGTTGCTGAGTATCTGTTAATAGTGATGGTATATCTTTGGTCTTCTGACAAAATATATATTTCTTATACATGTGTAGTTGATTTTCATCCACAGTTTCTGGCTCAGAATTCCCATAAGCCTTTCGATTTCCTGAATGTTGAGAATGTTAAAAGGTGTCTTTTGTTATGTGAATAAGGTTACTCTTGAAAGCACCTACAGATTGGGGACTGGTGTCCTGGAGTACAAACCATGTGATAAGAAGGTGGCACTTCCAGTTATATACCCAGTTCTCCAGAGAGGGGCACAGGGTTGAAGATTAAGTTCAGTTGCCAAAGGCCAATGAGTTAATCAGTCATGCAATGAAGCCTCCATAAAAACCCAAAAGGAGGGGCTTTGGAGAGCTTTCTGGTTGATAAACATCTGGAGATGTTGGAAGAGTGGTGTGACTAGAGAGGGCAAAGAAGCTCCCTTCCCTTTCCCTCATACCCTGCCCTGTGCATCTCTTCTGGCTGATCGTTCATTTCCTTCAGTATCCTTTATGACGTTTGATAAATCAGTGACTTGGTAAGTCAGTGGGTTCCCTTGTTCTGTGAGCTGCTCTGGCAAATTAAGTAAACTTGATAAGGGGGGTCCTGGAAAGCTCTGGTCAGAAGCACAAGTAACACCCTGGTCGAATTACCGGCAATGAAGTGAAGGTGGTCTTGGGAAACTGAGTTCTTAACCTATGGAATCTGGTGCTAACTCCAGGTAGATAGTGTTAGAATTGAGCTGACTTGAATTAAACTGTAGAAAATTGAGTTGATGTCCCATAAATTATATGTGTGGAGAATCCCTACTCCCCAAATACAGTGGAAATTGGTCCATGAACCCCTGTTTTGCACCTTTCATGTCTAACTCTTTTAAAATGATATAGCAGGGCCTCCCTAGTTGCGGAGGCAGTTGAGCCCAGTGCTGTGAAGCTGTCCGCAGGCTCTGCAGTGCGTTTCGATCCCGGCCAGCCGTGGAGATATCCACATGGTGTGGCAGACCTCTCCTGTCTTGCCCTCTGCTCCCCTCAGCAGTGTATTTTGGTCAGTCTGCCTGTACTGTTCCCCTCTCTGTCTCTGATGAATCTGCTCACCCTCCCACACATCTGGCCTGTACCCCGGTTCTTGTATAAAAATAAATAAATCTAAAAACAAAAAATAAAATGATAAAGCAAACAAAAGCCCAGACTTAGTATCTTCAGTAGCTTGAACTCACTTTTCAAAAATTAGCATTCTTGCTAGTGCATATGTGGTTTTGATTTTTTTTAACAAGTCTTGCCAATAACATATAGTATAAAGAGAATCAGTTACAGATATATGTAAAATAATATTTAAACTTGATTGATTTTATTCAGGAATTTCAGTGAAATACCATAGTTTTTGTTGTTTTTTTTTTAACTGTAGTGGCTTTGCTATGGAAAGTTCTTTGCAAATTACATATACCTCAGTGCCACTGTTTTAATGTAATAAAACCTGTGCATCAACTTTGATGGTGTGGCTTTTAAATTATTCACATAATTTATTGTTTTCAGGACTCAGATTTTTGTTCAGTTTTAATGTTTATGAATCCGTTTTCTTTCTTTTTTTCTCTCTCTCTTTTTTAAAAATATGGAACGCTTGGCTTCCCCTGGTGGCGCAGCGGTTGAGCGCTGGGTTGCGAGGCTGCCCGCAGCCTCTGCAGCGCCAGTTCGATCCCCAGCCACTGGTGAGGGTCCCACCAAAAAAAAAAAAAAAATACGGAATGCTTCACGAATTTGCGTGTCATCTTTGCGTAGGGGCCATGCTAACCTTCTCTGTATCGTTCCAATTTTAGTATATGTGCTGCCGAAGTGAGCACGAATCCATTTTCTTGTATTCACATGAAGTTTGAGGGAAAATGTCTGAAGGAAAATGACCTCGTAGAAATGTTGTGATGTTTATCAAAAAAGGATATAGAAACTTCGTAAGAAGGAATTAAATAGAACTCTTAAAGCTGTCGTTCATCAGCACAAATTTTCCCTTGTAAGCTTCTACATGTTCATTATAATAAATGAGACAGAAATTAAGCACTTTCTAAATGTTCAACATCACTTGTAATCAGGGAAATGCAAATCAAAACTACCATGAGATACCATCTCACACCAGTGAGAATGGCACATATTAAAAAAACTAGCAACAACAAATGTTGGCGAGGATGTGGAGAAAAAGGAACTCTTGTGCACTGTTGGTGGGAGTGCAAACTGGTCCAACCACTATGGAGAGCTGTGTGGAGATTTCTGGACCTACTAAACATAGAGCTTCCATATGATCCAGCAATTCCACTCCTAGGTATTTACCCAAAGGACACAGAAACATCAATTCCAAAGAGCACCTGCACCCCTATGTTTATAGCAGCACTGTTTACAATAGCTAAGCTTTGGAAACAACCCAAATGCCCAAAAATAGATGACTGGATCAAGAAGATGTGGTACATATATACCATGGAATATTACTCAGCATTCAAAAAAGATAAACACATGCAATTTGCAGCAACATGGATGGCACTGGAAGGGATCATGCTCAGCGAAATAAGCCAAAAAGAAAAAGAAAAATACCGGATGGTCTCACTCATAGCAGGAATCTAGAAAACTTAAATAAGGGACCAGGAAAATGAATATAAGAAAGTGAAAATCGGGCCTCCCCGGTGGCGCAGCGGTTGAGTGCTGGGTTGCGAAGCTGCCTGCAGCCTCTGCAGCGCCGGTTCAATCCCCGGCTGCTCCCCGGCCACCAGCGGAGGGTCCCACATGGCGCGCAGACCTCTCCTGCCGCCCGCTGCTCCCCTCAGCAGTGTACTTCGGTCCTTCTGCCTGCTCTGCTCCCCGCTCTGGCTCTGGTGAATTCTCTCACCCTCCCG